GACACGCACGAGCGACACACAGACACAAACAGGCTCACAAGACACACAGCCAGCGGACTGCCACACACCTTGAGTAGGCGTACACATAACTCAAGGCCACATCCTCCCTGTTGCCCCCCCCAGCACTCCAAGGTGCCAAGAGAACAAACAAGGGCACAACAAACAACAGACAACAGGAAGTGACATGCGAGGCTAGAGCAGGCTTGCTCTACCTACCTACCTTGCCTACCTACCCCTTCTCCCCTTTCCCCTCCCTCCTTCCTCTTCGCCCTTTTTCGGGCCTGGCTCTGTCTTTTGCTCTGTTTGACCACATTCTAATGCCCACCGGCAAGGGGCTCCCGAACATGACCTCTGACCACTGAGCTACACACAAATCGCCAAATGCGACAAACACAGAATCTGAGCCCCATAACCATAAGCCCCTCAGGAATTGCTTGCGGACGTCGACCACGACGTCTACCGTGGGAGGGCGAGGCACCATTGCCTGCGCCCTCCCCAAGCCCGCGGGGGCTCAAACCCGACCAGCCAGCAGGGGCTTTAACCTGACCACACCAAAGGCTCTCCAGCCAAACCGCGGACGTCGCAAAACGAGGCAGCGAAACTCTTACGTCCCAGGACGAGAAGTTTCCTCCTCGTATTGCATAATCCCACTCCTGGCGAAGGAATTCTCCTTTTGCTACGTAGACAAGTTCGTAAAATCCCAGGGACGTCCGTCCAGAAAGTCGATCGCGCTCCTTGTCCGCGTTCCCTCAACCCACGCGCCTCAGCCACCATGTCCACTCAGCAGACCGGCCCGCAGTACCCGATGTTCGGCACGACCGCCCAGGAGGCCGACACGGACGTGACCTTCACCGACGCCCAGCTGTTTGAAGGGCTGCAGTCGCAGCAGCAAAATGGCGCACAGCAACAGGGCGCACAAGCCGGAGACGCCTCTGACCCGTTTGCAGCTGTCAAGCCGCTCGCCGAACCCAACCAAGACGCGCTCGACCGCGCCGTCGAGGCGACTGCCGGCAAGAGCTGGGCCTACATTCAGATCAAACAACATTCCTCTGAGCTGCAAGTTGTTGCCCAATCGCTCATCGTCTCACTCATGACCACGATGCTTGCTAGCATCCCGTACGATCAGGTCGTCACTGAATGGTGGATACTAAGGCCGCGAGCTATGCAGGTGGTCAATTGTGCAGCAGGGCACGGTCAGCAGCGCCGACAGGCTGTCGCAAGGCGTGATAGCATGGCCGCAAGACCGGCGAATTCCTTGAAAACAAGTAAAAAATGCGCAAAAAAGAAAAACGTCCCAAAAATCGGCGCCTGCGGCGGGCCGTGGGACCCCATCTCCGCCCCGCATGGATACCCTCTAGGGCCCCCGCCTCCCCCCAGAGACATTGCTCTACAGCGCTCCAGAGCGCTCTACATCTCTACAGCTCTACAGCGCTCTACACTCTACATCCTCTACACCCTCCCTCAGCAAGGGACACGACAGGCTCGCAGCGCGGTGCACGGTGGACTCCCAACTCCACTGGCGGTCTCTCTCATCTCAGTAGTCTAGCTTGAGCACTTGAGCACTGGATAGGGTCGATTCCGCATGGTACGGGACCCCTCGATCGTCTCGGGTCTCGCCCTCCCTCACTGGTGTGTTCATTGGGGGGGGTCATAACAAACACGGTACAGGATCGAGGTGCACGCTGCCAAAGCAGTGTCGTCCCCCCTCTCCCCGACGGCGATGGCGGTGTGACCGATCGAGCTACAAGAGGAGCTTGTTCAGCAGGATCCGGGATAGTCAGATGCACTACCTCACTGGGCCTGAGACCACCACACGACCCTCCCATCACCGTCTCGGATTTATGTGGGATCGAACCACTCCGGGATGGGCAAGCCCATCGATTGTCATTGATCCATCTGGTTAATTGTCAAAATTCCTGTTCAAGAGGGGAGGGGGCTCTGACGGAGTGTGTGGTGGGAGAGGGCAGGGAATGAGCGCAGGGGAAGGGGGGGGGGGGGCTCAGCCGTGCAAAAAGCATCAATTAATAATAGTAGTGAAGAAATATTGCTCGGCCGTTCATGAAGTCCTTTTTGATCTAGAGGAGACGGGTCAACCCCGTGAGGACCAGATCAGGTTCGCATTGTCGTAGCCGGAGGGGATGTTGACCTTTAGCTCTTGGGGCCACCTTTCCGCTTTGGTTTTTTCCCCACTGACCACTCGGGCAACTTTTACCAAATGCCAAAGTTGCACTTTACCATTCGGGCAACTTCGATTGCATTTTACCACTCGATGAAACGGGCGGACGGAAAACGCGTTTGCGGTCGCTCGCCGGAGAGCTATGCATGAAGCGGCCGGCGCGCCACCGCAGCTCACCGATGGAGCTTGCGAAGCGGCTCAATCCACTGGCGCAGCAGCATTGCGACCCATTCTCCAAGCACGGCCTCTGGCGTTGCGACTGCACAGAGAGCGAGCAATAGTCGCCAAAGACACTGATCTGTGTGCAGCGGATCTCCATGGCGGTCGCGCCCAGCGAAGGGACAACCGCAGGCCTCGGATGCTCGCCCGGATGCGGACCCACCGTACGAGTTGCAGCCCCGGAGGTGGCCGACCCAGCTCACCCCAGAGAGACCATACCCAGGGTCAGGCATAAAAGGGGGGTGTTTTTCGTCCGTCCGAAATAGTCTAGCTAGCGACCTGCCTCCAGCTTCTCACTGGCAGTCTCTCGCAACCACAGGCACACTGACACAGGGGTGGCAGGGGCGGCGGCAGGAGTCTCCCACATACATGCGGGCCTCGCTACTCGAGTAGAGGTGCGTCCTGTGTGTGTCCTCGCCCTTGTTTTGAGGGGGAAGGGGAAGGGGCTGTTTGTCTGTGCATGCATGCATGTGCGTGTGTGTGTGTTTAGTGCCAGTGTGTGCCAGTGCGGCTAAAAACGCTTAAAATTCTTTTTTCGAAACCCTGTCGAAACCCTCCCTAACTTACCTGCGTCATGCCCCGCCGGACGAAAGCTAGCTCAGTCGGGTCCCGCGGGGTTGCATCAACGGCGGCTACTGCTGCGCCGCTCTCGCTGCCGAAAAGGATCGAGGCGGCGGCGGAGAACGGCAAGGTCGACGTGGTGCAGACGTGGCTCTTCAGCGGGGATGGGCGGGTTGACGCAACGTGCGTGCGTAGCGACGTGAGTGGCTGTACGCTCCTGCTGATCGCCGCCGAACACGGTCACAAGCAGCTGGTCGAGGTTCTGCTGAAGCGCGGCGCGGAGGCGGACGCGCGAGACAGCGAAGGTTGTACGGCGCTGAT